AAAAAAAAAAAAAAATTCTCACCATTGGACCAATCAATAACATCAAGATAAATAGAGAAAAATTTGAAGTTGTCAAAGACTTCATTTTGCTTGGATCCACAATCAACAATCAGGGAAACAGCAGTCTATAAATCAAATGATATATTGTAGTAGGCAAATCTACTGCACAAGACCTCTTTATAAAGTCTCCAAGAGCAAAGATGTCAATTTGAGGACTAAATTGTGCCTGAACCAAGCCATGTAATTTTCAATCGCCTCATATGCATGTTAAAGTTGAACAATGAGTAAGGAAGACCACAGAAGAACTGACGCATTTGAGTTGTGGTATTGGAGAATAGTATTACAAGTACTGTGGACTGCCAGAAGAACAAATCAATCTGATTTGGAAGGACAGCCAGAATGCTCCAGAAAGCCAGGATTGCAAGACTTCATCTCTCACAGTTCAGATATATTATCAAAAAGGACTAGTCCCTGGAGCCTTCTCAATCATGCTTGGTAAAGTGGAGGGTCAGTGAAAAAGAGTAAAACCCTCAAGGAGATGGACTGATAAAGTGGCAGCAGCAATATCTCAAATGTAACCATTACGAGGATGACACGGGACCAGCAGTGTTTCGTTCTGCTGTATACAGGATCAGAACCAACTTGATACCACCTAACAACAACTTGATTTACACTTTCTTTCTTTTAATATACAGATTCTTTATTAAGTTTTAAACAAGAGTAAATACTAGACAAAGACAAACATAAATAACCCAGGTGATGGAAATCACAGACACCATGATGAATTTCCTACTTTGTTTTTCTTAACTGTCTTTTGAAGAACATGTTTTAAAAACTTGATGAAACATAATTTATCAAAAAAAATGTTTAATGTGGAAAGGGTATTATTTCCGTTAGCCTCCTATCTTACCTAACTAACATAATGGCCTTTTTTAGAAAACTGCAGGGAAAGAGAGATAGGTCAGAATTTGCCAGGGGGCAAGCAGAATGGTGGAGAAGCGACCCTATGCACAACAGAACGAAACACTGCCCAGTACTATGCCAACCTCACAATTGTTGCTACATTTGAGCCCACAGCTGCTGCCACTGAGCTAATCCATCTCGTTGGAGGTCATCCTCTTTTTTTCTAACCCTCCTCATTACTAAACATGATAGCCTTCTCCAGGGACTGGTCCCTCCTGAAAATATATCCGAAGTATGAGAGACGAAGTATGGCCATCCTAGTTTCCAAGAAGCATTCTGGCTGTACTTCTTCCAACACAGATCTGTTTGTTCTTTTGCCAGTCCAAGGTACTTTTAATATTCTCCTCCAACACCATAACTCAAATGCAACAATTCTTCAGTGGTCTTCCTTATTCACTGTCCAGCTTTCATACGCACAAGAGGTTATTGACAATACCATGGCTTGAAGTCAGGTGCACTTTAGTCCTCAAAGTGACATTTTTTTTCTCTTCAACACTTTAAAGACGTCTTGTGCAGATCTGCCTGAAAGATGAGGCCTTCTGCTCCCATAAAGATTTACAGCCTTGGAAACCATATGCAAGGTCACTATGAGTCGGCGCCGACTCCACAGTACTTAACAACAACAAGTATGTTGTATGATTTCTTAACTGTTGCTTCCACGAGTGTTAATGGTTGATCCAAGCAAAATGAAGTCTTTGACAACTTCAATCTTTTCTTCATTTATGTAGATGTTATTTACTGGTCCAGTAGTGAGGATTTTCAGTTTCTATACATTGAAGTGCAACCCATTCTAAAGGCTGTCGCCTTTGATCTTCATCAGTAAGTATTTTTAAGTACTCTTCACTTTCAGCAAGCAAGGATGCTATCTGCATATCACAGGTTGTTAATGAGTCGTCCTTCATCCTGATTCCATGTTTTTCTTCATATAACCCAGCTTCTCAAATTATTTGCTCAGCATACAGATTGAATAATATGGTGAAAGAATACAACCCTGGCTTGATAGAAGGAAATTAGGAAAAGCTCCTTATCATCAGCTATAATAAGGCCAGGAGCAGATTGTGGAATAGATCATCAACTGTTCATATGCAAGTTCAGGCTAAAGCTGAAGAAAATTAATACAAATTCATGAGAGCCAAAATTTAACCATGAACATATATCCCACCTGAATTTAGAGATCATCTCAACAACAGATCTGATGCATTAATCACCAATGAATGAAAACCCACAGACTTGTGGGATGACATCAAGAACATCATACAGTAAGCAAGCAAAAGGTCACTAAGAAGACAAGGGAAAAAGAAAAGGCCAAAATGAATGTCAGAAGAGACAATGAAATTTGTTCTCCAGGGTAGAGATGCTAAAGCAAATGAAGAAATGAAGAGGTAAAGGAGCTCAATAGAAAATTTCAAACAGCATCTTGAGAAAACAAAATCAAATATTATAATGAAATGTGTTAAGTTCTGGAGTTAGGAAACCAAAACGGAAGAACATGCTCATCTCCAAGGACTGTGGAAAAAATTACCAAACATGAGTCCAGTAAATACTAAGGTTCCTTGAAGTGGAGTTTGGACCCTGCAGTTTAATCTGCAAATATATTTTAAGAGACTCCAGAGATTCGGGACTTTAATTCTAAGTGTGGCTGGTAAACTCACAGTCCTACAGTCACACAACACACACTTAAACTAGTGGGGCATATCTAAAGTCTGACTTGTTGTTGTTAAGTACAATTGTGTCAGTTCTGAATCACAGTGATCCTGTATAGGGTTTCCAAGAAGTGACTGTTGGGTTTGAACTGCTGAACTTGCAGTTAGCAGTGCAATGCTTAACCTACAGCACCACACCCAGACCCCAAAGTCTGATTGATTGTTGTTGTTGTTAAGTGCTGTTGTTAAGAGTTGGTTCCAACTCATAGTGACCCTGTATAGGGTTTCAGAGGTACTACTGGTGGGTTTGAACTACCTACCTTGTGGTTCACAATCCAGTGCTGATCCTATAGCACAACACCAGGATTGGTTTACCCAAATACTACCTGTTCTTCAATATTTTCTGTGCAATCCTTGCCACTGCACTTCTAAAGAGCTGACGCATTTCAAGTACCTTGTTTCCCAAATGTCTCTGACTTGCTTCTTGTTCTTAAAAAGCTCAATTTACAAGTATAATCTAACAGGAAATGATAAAAACATCTTTACATAAAAATAGTCTTTTTAATTAAAAACAAACAAAAACTCTTAAAAAATAAAATAGAATACTTGAATGATACAAATGTTGTTGCTGTTGTTAAGTACCAGAGTCAGTTCCAACTCATAGCGACCCTGTATAGGGTTTCCAAGGAGCTGATGCTGAGTTTGAACAGTTGACCTTCTGGTTCAAAGCGACTTTATCGTATAGCACTACACCAGGACAAAGGGAAAGCATCAATAATATTGAACTGAAAACGTTTGAGCAAATAAATTTCCTGTAAGGGAAGTCCACTTCAGGAAACATGTATACACTGTATTTTCAAAAGAAAAAGACACCAACCAGCATGTTCTATTATATCAGTATATTTTATTATAAACACAGTATACAAAAATAATGAATGTACTCACTTGTCTTTTAGCTTCTCTCAGTTTTCTTTTGAGGGCTGTCAAAATTCTTTGTACTTCCCACAATCTTTCTTCTTTAGATAAATCCTTTATCCCACCCTGCAAATCTCGATGTAAACAATTCAAAAGAAACTCCTAGAAAACAACATGACACATCACATAGTATTTCAAATCTTATGATTTAAAAATTACAACATGTAATCTCTAAAGATGATAGGCTCAACTATTTTTCAATTATCTTTAAACAGTGAAATAATGGCATGTGTTTTTTTTTCCAGGACATGACTGAAAAGGGCATTGTATATTCATTCATTAATTTACCCTGGTTCAATAGTAGTTAATTCACATTCCCCCAAAACATTATCATAATGTGCATTCAAATAAAGATGGAATAACAATCAAATGTAAGTGAAGTTTTATTCAGTGTTAAATCTCTCATTCAGTCTCGCAAAAACAACAAAATACCACACAATCAAATAGCACTATTTCTTACCTACAAGCAGCAACAGCAGAAAGGCTTAGGTCATGGCTCAAATCCTGGCTCTTCAGCTCAGTAATAAGCAGGTGGCACACAGAATTTCTTTGACTACTTAAATTTTAGTGCCTGCAGAGTATGTATAGTAAACTTGCCTGATTAGCTAACATTTTGGACTGTTTTCACATGTTTTATGTTAATATTCCCATCAATCCTATATCAAGATCCATTTAAAAATGAGAACAGGGAGACTTAAGAAAGTCATTAATTAGGAATTGAGCAAGAATTTAAAGCTAAGTCTTTTGATTCTAAATCCCATGCTCTTTATACCATGCTCTTTCTGTTTTACCTGATCCTACAGATCAGAAGCAATAGTTACAGAAGGAAGCTTCTGGCCTCAGTGTGCCATGATGAATGTGGCTAACACAGTATCAGAAAGTGCTCAATAAACCAAAGCTAATAATAATGACAACCAGTCTCCAAAGTGTCACATCAAAGGTGGTGCTTTAAGGCTCAATGCACAGGGCTGGCATTTCACACACCTGTCTTCTGATCTCTTCTTTGATGCTCTCCTGGGTGTCTGGCAGTGTGGGCATAGTGGCCATGTTAGACCACCGAAGAGGTTTTGTCACTTGTTTTAGTACCACATTTCCAAAGAGCTCTTGCACATGTGTGAACAACACATACAGGACACGATTGCTAATCTAGGAAATAAAATATTTTCAAGAAAAATATTACCACAACAATTTCATTTCATTTAATGCGTATCTATCATATAGTGAGAGCATGCTTTAATTCTTGACATGCGAATGAAAACTTTCCTCAGTAACAATCAATTTAAAGAAAACAAAAACAAAAATGGAGAAATGTAAGCACAATCATTTACTTAAGCGCCATAAAGGATGGAAAAAAAAAAAGGTTAAAGAAGCCCAAGACCACCAGTTTGTTTATTTCTGTCCTAGCTGCTTTAATTCTGTGCCCCAATCCTCTCAACTTCGCTTTATAACAGATGTTGAACTTTTGGTCTTTTATAATTTTTTAAAAACTGAAACACAGTACTCACAGATGACCATTTTTTAATTTTTGGACTAAACTGTTACTTAGTTTGAAAGTGACTTCAGAGGATAGTTCCAGTGTTTGAGGAGCAACTCAAGGTCATAGTCTTGAGGATTCTTCCAGCCTCAGTAAGTCCACTAAGTCTGGATTCTTTACAAATTTAAAGTTCTGTTCCATTTTTCTACCTTTTTATGATTCATCTACTGTGTTCCTAGTCAGAACGTCCAGTAGTGGTAGCCAGACACCATTTAATGAATGTTTGCACAAATAACATATATATAATACATTTTTTTGGCACACTGTGTGAATCACTCACATATTAGTTTCCCTGAGTGCTGTGGTGTGTTATATGCTGAAAAATAGAGTCATTCTTCTAGTCTTAATTAAGGTGGAGGAAGTATTGGTTCACGTAAACAATTAAGTCTTGTATTCTAGTCCCTTCTCTAATTCTTGGGTTTCCTTCTTTCTTTTTTGTTCCAGATGAATACGGACCAATCATTTCCTTAGATTGTAAGTTTTTAAGACCGCAGACACTACTCACACATAGAACATAAACTTTAAGAACTAAACTATGTCAATTGACTGGACTATCCCACAATATCACCGTTCTAAGCCCCTAAACCAAGAGCACTAATCCCATGAAGTGACTGCTGTGGATGTTAAGTGCCGCTGAGTGGATTCTGACTCACAGCACCCTGTACAGGGTTTCCGAGGAGTGGCTGTTGAGTTTGAACTGCTGGCCTTTCGGTTCAAACCGATCTTTCTACAGTACCACACCATGACTTCATGAAGTGATTGGTTACGTCCAATTACTAATAGCATATGTAACCCCAACCCCTGCCACCTCTTGGTTGTTGTTATTGCAAAGCCACCACCAATGTGTTCTTAAAGCATGGTTGTTTTCCGTTTTCCTATCACTACAATATTGACTTGGTTTTAGAGACCTTTTTAACTCCCACAGGGGCTCTGAAAAGGAGAGGAGGGAAGTAAAGCACCTGAAGCACTAATGCTGGGTTGAGGCTGGGAGAGACCCTCACCCAAATGTCCACACTTCTGTACATGCCTGTATAGCCAATTTTTCAACAGGATAATATATACTAGGAATTCAGGATACTATGTTGTTGAAAAGCTAATACATTATTTCGTACTTAGAAATTACTCCTAGAAGACATCGAAATCTTCTGTGATATCATCCTTGTTATGGTAATATTAAACAGCAATGTCAATGTCGTACTTAGCAAATTCTGAAATCCTAACTAATTTGAATGCCCAAACGGAAAATCTGAAAACATTTCATTTCTAAAATAGAATCAATGAGCTATGAAAGAATCTTTCATAAAAGACATTGATTTATAATGATGTAGTATTTGGACTAAAAAGAGGGCTTAAAAAGATAACCCTCTTCTCATTTTTTAAATATTTTGCCTGAGTAAAATACCAATAACTAATGAAAGGGAAACATACTCTATGATAGCACAAGCTGGGCAGCAATAAACAAAGATCAAGTATTTATGTTACAAAAAGATACCAATTAACACATTCATTTAGTCAAAGATTTAATCTGAGGATTTTATTCATAAAGATGGATCTTAGAAGCAGCATCTAAAATCCATCTTTATGAATAAAATCATCAGGTTAAACCTTTGACTAAACGAATGAGTTAATCTTAGATGTTTCTTTCTAGGATCTGTTATTTACGAATAAAATCCTCAGGTTAAATTTTTGACTAAATTAATTCATGATAGACCCTTCTGTGCCTGAGTTTGGTATGTGTGTGTATGTGTGCATATGCTATAACTAATCAATAATGTTATCTAATGAAATATTTGAAATCTTAAAAAATTCTACACATGAAGTTTATAATTGCAGGTACAATTGTTTCCTCTTCTACTCATGAAAGATTATTGTTATCTGGAACTGACTTTCAAATCCACACTAAAGATAGTACAATATTCAAAGGATATAACTACAAGCTAACAGGCAAATAAACTCATTATCTTACATGCCAATGCTATCCATGCTACGAAAGAAAATAAGACCTACATTCAAGCTAACACATTAATTATATAAAGGCAAACCCAACCCAAGACCTACATTCAAGCTAATGCATTATATAAAATAAGACCTACATTCAAGCTAACACATTATATAAAGGCAAACCCAACCCATTATAACTGAGGTAATTACAACTTGTGATCCTACAGGACAGAGGAGAAGTTATAATTGCTCTCTATTCTACTCTGCCACAGATTCCCAGGACCCACACCAGAGGAACTGTGTGCAGGGAAAACCACGTACCTGAACCGTTGGGCTGAGCACTATAGAAATGTTCTGTATGTTCATTTTTGTCTCCAGTTCCTTGGAGATAACATGGTCCATGTGTACAATCAGCCAGGAAATGAGAAGATAGTTACACTCTGGCAGTTCCTTCAGTAAGCGTTGGAATTCCTGCACTTTCTCACTCTCGGTGCCCCTCCCACAAGCCTCTTCAAACCTGGGCATCAGCTCTTTGGTAAGCAAATTCTCTGGAAGGTCTCTCAAATACTGTTTCAGCAAACTGGCTACAGTGTTAGGCTCATATTCGTCTAAATTTGGAGACTCTTCTCGGTCATAGGCTGCTTTTAGCTCATCCACCTTTGATTTAATTCCTTAAAACATTCAAAACATTGAAAAGAAAAAGATAATACCCACACAAAATACACAAACATTTTTTTAAAAAATTCAAGCACACAAGTTTTCATTACTACTACATCCACTTCTGCCAGGGAAATCTGAGAACAATCCTTTAGTTATAATTTATTTATCTGCACAAAGTTCAGGTCATTCTTCTTGTAAATAATATAATGTAAAACACCACATTTCAAAAGAAAGTCTAACTAAAAGCTAAATAATAACTGAAAAACTTACTACTCAAAACCAAATCCAGAGCAACCGTGGACATAATGAGCAAATAAACTAATTAATTCAAGAAAAAATAAAACAAAACCTTTGTTTAAAGTTTCCAAAATCCACTGTTGGTCAACAGAAATGTGAGACAGGTGCTAGAAGCCCCAACACAAGTTTCTGTAAAGCTCTTGGGCCAACTCGAAGAAAACTACCATAGTTCTAAGAGTGAATGGATATGCTACATAGCTTAAACGGGAGAAACAAATGCCTAGAAATCATCTATGCTCACAAAAATTAGCCCTAAATAGTAACAAATAAATAAGCACATTGGCTCACCCAGTGAGATTCACATGCTCAGACCACTTAAGGAGGAGGCTCTGAGACAGAGACCAGTCATGCTAGCTCTGCTGTCTCCTCGCCATTTCTCTTTTCTTCTCTTTGTCTTTTGACCTTTTATTACTACTACGAGGAGCCCTAAGGAGCTCTGGTAGCATAGTGGTTACGAATTGGGCTGCTAACCTCAAGGTCGGCAGTTTGAAACTACCAGCTGTTCCGCGGGAGAGAGATGAGGCTTTCTGCTCCCGTGAAGAGTTATGAGTTGGAACCAACTCCATGGTACTTAACAACAACAACAAATAGTGCTTCTAGCTAGCTTTCACCTTCCTTGTCTTATCTGAAAACCTGTTAATGGTATTTCAATAAACTTGGAACAGCACTGAAAAATAAATTCAGTATTATGAAAAATAATAGTATAAACCTTATATTATTTTTTACATGAACTTTATTTTGAAGCAGGAAGGTTAAAATTCCTTTTTTTCTTTTGCTTTTATGAGTAAAACGTAACAAGCAACAACTTAAATAACTTTTCAGAAATACTTTCAACTAAACAAAATTTCTTTATACTTATCAAGGTCATATAAGACAAGCAGAGCTTATTTTATTATTGTGCAAATTTTCAAAAATCAAGTCATTGCAAGTTGTTCTTGAAAGCCAAATTTCCAAATTCATTTAAATGTGTTAAATTTTATGCATCACTAAGGAATTCTGGCGGAGTCCTAGTGTGGCATTGGGGGCTAATGAGCTAGACCATAAGGTCAGTTGGAACTGCAAGGTTGGTGAATCAAACTCACCAGCTACTCCTTGGAGACTCTATACAAGGTCACTATGGGTCGGAACCGACTCAATAGCACTTAACAACAACACAGAGTCCTGGTAGCATAGCAGGTCACACAATGGGCTGCTAAACACACAAGACTGGCGGTTTGATTCTACCAGCCACTCTGAGGTAGAAAGACAAGGCCTTCTGCTCCTATAAAGAATTACAGCTTCAGAAACCCTATACAGGGTCACTATGAGTCAGAACTGACTTGAAGGCACACAGCAGCAGTAGTAGTCAGGAGTTATATAAGGAGTTCTCATGGCACTATAGGATAAGCACTGCACTACTAGCCTTAAGGTCAGCAGTTCAAACCCACCAGCTATTGATGAGGAGAAAAATGAGGTTTTCTGCTCCCACAAAGATTTACAGTCTCAGAAACCCTATACACTAGGTCACTATAAGTTGAAATCAATTCAATGGCAGTGAGTTTGGTTTATGAGTTTTAAGGAGTTATAAGGAGTCCTGGAGTCCTGGTGTCGCACAGAAGGATAATCACTCATGGCACTGTAGATTGTGCAACGGATTACTAACCTCAAGGTTAGCGGTTCAAATCCACCAGACACTCCTCGGAAACCCTATACAGGGTTGCTATGAATCTGAATCAACTTGTTGGTACTTAACAGTAAGAAGCCCAGGTGTTGCAGTGGGTTAATATTTGGGCTGCTGACTGAAAGGCCAGTGGTTCAAATCTACCAGTAGCTTTGGAAGAGAAAGATGAGGCAGTCTGCTTCCACAAAGCCTTCGAAGCCCTAAGGTACAGTTCTACTTTCTGAGTTATAATCAATTATACAGCAGTAGGTTATGCTTTAAGGAGTTAAAAATTCAAATACTATGCCCACTTTGGAGTCCTGGTGTGGCATTGTGGGCTAAATGTGTCAGAATGCAAAGTCATTTGAACTGCAAGGTTGGTGGTTCAAGCTCACCAGCTGCTCCTTGGAAACCCTATACAGGGTCGCTATGGGCAGGAATCGACTCGACAGCACTTAACAACAAGATGCCTACTTTATTTATTTTCAGTAAAAGAGCAGTTAAGCCATGAAGTAGAAACATGCTATGTTGTTGTTAAGTGCTGTCAAGTTTGATTAACAGCAACCCTGTACAGGGTTTCCAAGGGGCAGCTAGTAAGTCTGAACCATCCATTGTGCAGTTCAAACTGACCTTGCGGTCGGTGCATTATCCTACAACTCTATACCAAGATTACCTATGGGGCTATGTAAATTCTTAGCTACCAAATTCCTAGTTCCTGCCCTTTCTCATCAAAATTTAAGTATCAAATCTACCTTCTGGAAATGTGTATGGACTAATTAAATGGAAAAATGTATTCTGAAAAAAATGAAGTCTAATCTATTTATGGAGTTCTGGTGTGGTACTTTAGGATAAGCACTGGACTGCTGCTAACTGCAAGGCCAGCAATTCAAACCCACCAACTGCTCCTTGGAAACCCTATACAGGGTTGCTATGAGTGGGAACCGACTTGAAGGTACTTAACAACAAGCTCTTTATATATTCTAAATGTGTATGACTTAACAACATAAAAGTGTGTGACCAACCATTTTACAAAATAAATCTCTGAACAGAAGCTGATGATGGACCAAGAAACAGAATAATGAGAATTTAATGAATTTGAGCACAGATGTTGCCACAGGTCAGGACTTTCATCCCAAGCCAGTATAAAAGTCATACTGCTTTAGAAGAAATAGTCTTTTTACTTTAAATATTATACATTTTGCTGGATTTTAGATAGCCAATATGAAACATATTTTTGCCAAGTATGAAACAGAAATCTTCATACATGTGGGGTATGCTACTGTTGTTATTAAATGCCGTTGAGTCAGATGGGAGGTTTTAAATCTATTGAGGAGGAGAAGCTTCATCTTTCTCCCAAGGAGCAGCTGGTGGGCTCAAACCGCAGACCTTGTGGTTCCCAGTCCTGCACTTATGCTACAGAGCCAGTGCGCTCCCATGTGGGGCATAGATGAATGGAAAATCAATAGCATTCATGTGTGAAATAGCTGCAGTATTCACATTTGGAGTGTTTCCTAAATTGTGCTATATTATATGATTGTGGCCACGAAGCTTCTGAAGAACATGCTGCCCTCTAATGTTATTTATAACACGAATCTCTGATTAGTAAAAGAATAAGAGAAGGCATGGATGGATCATGATAAGCAATACTGCCTATATGCTTCACTTTGTCTCATTTGGTGATGCTGCAAGCTATGAACAACTCACAGATATTGTCTTAAAAGAAGGAAATCATGGTAAAAGTAGCAAATGCCAAAATACACAAATTTTAAAAAGACAGAGAAGGGAGGAGCATTTTTTTTCAATTGGAAAATTCAAGAAAAATCAATAAAGTTTATAGTTGTTGTTATGTGATGCTGAGTCGATTCTAGCTGATAGCAACCCTGTATAGGGTTTCCGAGAGTACCTGGTGGGTCTGAATTGCTGACCTTGCGGTTACCAGTCCAGTGCTTATCCTACAGTGCCACACCAGGGCTCACAAATTTCCTCACAAGTTAGTATTATCCTTTCCTTGGGAAAATTAAAGAAGTTAATTTTTAAAACCCACCAAGTTAGTAGCAATACCTGAAACTCTGTAGATGCCTTCACATTTCATGCCATACTTTTCCACGTAATCTAAACATTCTCGGAAAACTGCAGGCAGGCAGATGCCATCGTACATCATGGTCCTCTCCACTGCGTCAGCCAAAGGAATTCCAAAAATGGGTCTGAGACTTGGCACATCAACTTGAGGCACCTCTGGCTCCGGAATTGGTTTTTTCTTTTTCTTCTTTTCCTTCCACTGTTTAACAACATCGGCTGCTGTCAAGTCTTTTGATTTCTTCTCTTTATGCTTTTCTTCTTTGTGTTTTTCTTCTTTATGTTTTTCTTCTTTGGGTTTCTCCTTTATTTTAAAATCCTTCTCCTTCTTTTTAGAAAAGCTGGGCTTCTTGAAAACATGGATGCCCTTAGACCTCTTCATTTTGGAAGGGCTTTCGGCTTCATCACCAGAGCTATCTTCCTGAAAGGCAGCATAACCTTCCGCTGTCAAGGAAATAGAGGGAGTATAAATGATATGTTTGACTAATGTCAAACTGTCCATAGCATTGTAAAAACAAAACTAAAAACCAAGAGTAACCTGGGACTACCACCTTACTGCTCACTTCATGTCCCAGCCCTCCTGGGTGCTCCCGCAATAAAATGGGTTTCTTCACAGACAAAATGAGATTGCTGCTGTGACAGCTCTGGATCACAGGAGGGCAACGTGGTGAAAACTTACACACACATTTGTTTTACATATGTGTGCAAGAGGAATTTTGTGAAACCAAGTACTAGAAATGCACAGGAAGGGTTCCACTTCACAGGGTGAACAATACTGACTTTTTAAAATTAGCTTAAGTCGTCTTCTCATATACTAGCTTTAATTAGCCTAAGTTTTTTCATATTTGGGGTCTGTCACTTGAAGTACTCTCCAGTCACAATAACACACACAATACCACTGTCTATATACTCTGGATGGTCCCCAGCCATTCTTTGCACTCTTGTTACTAGCTGTTAGCTGAGACTGAACCCTCAGACAGATGGAGTAGAGAAATCTCCCAAAGTTTTACAGTGGCCAAATTAATCTGTACCGTAAGCCTGGGTTTCCATAAACGGACCACATGCCCAGATATTTTACATCACTTCAGAGTCATTATTATTTAGTTCCATTTTAAAATATTTGTCACTCCCCTATTTTAAGCCAATTGTCTTACAAGCAATTTTATAATAAAGATCAAAGACATTTCACAAGTTACCCTCTAACAAAAATACCGTAAGCCCTACACCACGCAGATGGCAAAAAAATTAAGGTATAATTCTAGATGTAAAGTAACCGGAATACTCATATGTTGCTGAAGGAAGTAAACTGGTACAAGCATTCTGGAAAATCGTTTTTCAGGATCTACTAAAGCTGAAATTTGCAATTCTATTTCCAGGTACATACATACCAGAAATGTATACATATGCATACCAAAAGACACACATAAGAATGTCCACAGAAACACAATTCATAACAGTCAAAAAACTGAAGAAAACCTAAATGACCAATGACAGTAGAATGGATAAACACCTCCATCATATTAATAAATTATATCTGGCAATAAAAATGAACAAATTACTAACATATGGAATAACCTGGATGAATTTAACAAACATAATACTGGGCAAAAGAAACCAAACACCAAAGGAAGCATGTTTCTATTTACATAAAATTCAAACTGAGGCAGTACCCATCTCTGGTGAAAGACGTTTCCCTCTGGAGGAGTGGAGAGACTGACTACCTTTGGAGGGGCAGTGAAAGGAAATGTCTCGGGTGCTGGTAAGTTCTGATCCTCATAATGGCTGCACAGGGGTTGTTAGGGATTGAAATGTGTCCCCCCAAAATATGTGTCATAAATTTTAACCTCTATGTCTGTGGTTATACAATCCTATTTGGAAAGGGGTTTTGACTTTATAAAGCTAATGAGGCAGGATTAGTATGGGGTGTGTCTGGAATCAATCTCTTTTAAGCTATAAAAGATTAAATAAACAAAAGAAAGAAGCAGAGATGGAGGTAGATGGATGCCAAGTCATATGGAGATATCTAAAGAAACCAAGAAACAAACTGAAAAGGCAAAGACTTTCCCCAAAAGTTGACACAGAGAGTTTCCCCGTGCCTGCTTACCTCTATCTAAAGCAAGCATGGGTAAACTTTTTTTTCTGCCAAAATTTATAAAATCATTCATAGGCCAACTTAAAAATGTTGTTGTTAAGTACCATCGAGTCAGTTCTGACCCATAGCGACCCTGTATAGGGTTTCTGAGGAACAGCTGGTGAGCTTGAACTGCTGACCTTGCAGTTCAAATGGCTTTGCAGTCTGGCACATTAACCTACAGCGCCACACCAGGACTCCAAAAGCATGCTATATTTGGTTAAACATGTAATTAACTTATCCCTAACATGATGGCTAGAATTGCAATTGCCTTGGCAGGGCCAGACCAAATGATTTCTCAGGCATTATATGGCCCATGTGTGGCGCTGTTTTCTAATGCATCAGACTGCAAAGCTGTCTGAACTACAAGGTCGGTGGTTCAAGCTTACCAGATGCTCCTTGGAAACCCTACAGGGTCGCTATGGGTTGGAATCAATTCAACGGCACTTAACAATATGGCCCACAGAAAGATGAGGCTTTCTGCTCCCGTAAAATTTACAGCCTCGGAAACCCTATATAGGGTCACTATTAATCGGAACTGACTCCATAGCACATAACTACCACCAGCACATGGCCCATGAACCAGATGTTCCCCACCCCTGCCCTAGAACCAGTGAAATAGTTTAGGTTCTGTGTTAGCTTGGCTGGGCCTGGATTCTCAGTGGTTTAGTAATTCTCTATGATGAGAGTTAATATCACGTAATCACCTCCCCTATAATGTGATCTGATGTGATCAACCCTGATCTGATGTAATTACCCTGTGTTGTAAAGCCTAACTTCTATGATATTAATGAGGCCAGGTGCAATCTCTTTTGAGATATAAAACGAGAGAGAAGTAAGCAGAGTTCAGAAAGGCCTACTACCATCAAGAAGAGCCTGGAATGGAGTGTGTCCTTTGGAGCTGGGGTCCCTGCACTGTGAAGCTCCTAGATCAAAGGGAAGATTGATACAAAGACCCATGGAAATCTATGAAGAATACTGTGTCTACTAGTGCTGAAAGGAGACAAGGACCGTTACCCAGAGCTAAAAAAGAGAAAGCCTTTCCCAAAAGCCAGCACTCTGAATTTGGACTTCTAGCCTCTTCAACTGTGAGAGAATAAATTTCTGTTCGTTAAAGCCATCTACTTGTGGTATTTCTGTTATAGTAGCACTAAAAGTAAGGCAAGTGATGCCTTGAATTCAGACTTCTAGCCTCCCAAACTGTAAGAAAATAAATTTTTTTGTTACAGTTATCCAATTGTACTTCTGTTCTAGCAATGTTGGATAACTAGGACAGAACTGGACACTGAGAGTTGGGTGCTGCTATAACACAAACCTAAAATGTGGAAATTGTTTTGGAATTGGATAATGGGTAGAAGCTGGAATAAGTTTTAAGGTGCCCAACAGGAAAATTATAGATATCCCTTGAGTGACTATTGGTAGAATTATGGATGTCAAAGACAATTCTGGTGAAGGAATTGTGGATATTAAAGGTAATTCTTAGAAGGACGGAGGAGAGCTGTATAGAAAGTCTCTATATTACCTTTAGAGTACATATGGCACCAGCAACAAAATGTAGCTAGAAATGTGAACATCAAATGTGCTGCTGGTGAGGCTTTTAAAGAAAATGATGAACATGTAATTAGATAATGGAGAAAGGTCAATGTTTTTTAAGCAGCGGCAAAGAACTTGTCTAAATTATGTTCAAATGTTTGGTGGTGCCTTGTTGTTGTTTGGTGGTAAGTGCTGTTGAGTTGGTTCTGACTGTATAGGGTTTCCAAGGAACAGCTGATGGGTTTGAGCTGCCAGCACTATGGTTTGCAGTTCAGTGTTTACCCTAGATGGTACATGACCTGTGCAAACTATAGCCTGTTGTCAGAGCCTATCTTGAGTTTTGACCTAAGTCCAGATGCCATCTTGAGTACTCTGCACAATTCTGACTGCCAAACTGCTAAAATCAGCTCTCAGGCAAAGTGTATTTGAAAGTGGATTAGGCCACACTCCACCACAGAGGGGCAGTCTTGCTCTTGGGAAGACTTGATAGAAGTTAGGGACTAGGGCCACATGATTATGAGTCATACCCAAAGGGCCTCAAGGTTAATCCTGTAAACTTTCCTATCTGCAATAGTTCCCTTCCTGTTTTCATAGTCTGGCCTGCAGCTGTGAGACACTGATCTGCTGCCAGTCAGAGTTTTGTGACCCAATTCCTTTGTTCTCTGTGCCTGCTAAGTTCACCTTATGGAGGTGAATCTTTGGGATACCACCATGGTCACATGTAATGATCTCCCCCAGCTGGATGGCCTGCTCTTGTTTTCCTCTTGTCTTTGTTCCATTTAATACTATGAAAAGGGTCTCTATGAAATACATTTGAATTTGAGGTTTTTTTTTCCTCTTCAACAGGGAAAGTTGACTTTGTTAGTGATAAACTTAGGTACTTGACTGAAGCACTCCTTAATACTTAATGAAAATACAACTTAAAGATTTGGAAAATTCTAAGGAATGTTCACCAAAGACATGGATACACACACAATTTTTATTAAAGACATTAAGCTTATGACTGATGAATGTAACCAACTACTATAGTAGAATACCCATCGCTATATTATATTATACTAAAGGGAACGGAAAACTAACTAAAGGAGAGAATGCCGTATACCTCTTGGGATTATATAGGCAGGAAACAGTCCAAAGAAGCATTTGTTGTCCTCCAAGAAAAGGAGTCCTGGTGTGGCGCTGTGGGTTAATGCGTCAGACTGCAAAGCTGGTCGGCAGTTCAAGCTCACCAGCTGCTCCTCAGAAACCCTACACAGGGTTGCTACGGGTCAACCGACTCAATGGCACTTAACAACAACAAAGAAAAGAACCATCCCAACTCAGAGATCAGCAGAATTGTTGAAAGGACCAGGTCTTTTCTGTTTCAAAAGGCGGGGCTACTCTCAAAGGGTGTGACCACAGGTTCTTAGGTTTCAAAGAGTCAGATTTTTGCCAACTGGTTTCTAAAGTGTGAGTAGTCATTAAGATGTGCTAGGGGGATGGAGCTGCTGCCCAAACCTGAGTGGGTGGGGCTGCCATGCATAAGGGGAATTAGCCTTCTGGGGCTGAGACAAGGTTGCCCTCAATTTGACTAGAAGAATGGGGTCACCCAAAGCTGAGAGAGCAGAGTTATTGTCCCTGTGGGCCTAGAAGGTGGAGCTGAAACCCAGGGCCCAGGGGGCTCCAACCAGAATCTAGATGCATATCTAACACCCAGAGTCTGGAGGACAGGACCACTGTCTAGATGGCCTTAGATTATTTCACTGTCTAGACGGCCTTAGATTATTTCACTGTCTAGATGGCCTTAGATTATTTCCAAGCCTTGACAGCTACTGCAAATTATTCTGATGTGTTTTTGACTTGCTTGGTGCCTGTTAGAAGTGTTTTTTCCCTCTAATTTCTCCCATTTGTAATGGAAATGCCTACCTTGTTCCTGTTCTGCTACTGTTCTTTGGAAGCAGGTAACTTCTATTTTAGATTTCACAGGTTCACAGATGAAGAGTTTTGTCCCAGGATAAAATCAGTCTAAAGACTCATTCAGAATTGATTTGTTGTTGTTAAGTGCCGTTGAGTTAGGATTTCCAAGGAGTGACTGGTGAGCTTGAACCACCAACCCTGCACTTCAAACGAATTTGCAGTCTAACGCATTAGACTACAGCGCCACACCAGGACTCCATAATTGATTTAGAAGATCAGATATTTGGACCTGGAGTTGATTTAAAACTTAGGGATGAATATGTTTTGCATTTGGCAAGGACATGATTTGGGGGAGAGTGAAGGATCCAGGATGGAATGTTATGAATGTCCCCTCAAAATAACTGCTGTAAATCCTAACCTCTATGCTGTGCTTATCTCATTTGGGCATGGATTATTTGTTATGCTAATGAAGCAGAGTTAGTATGGGGTGTATCTTGAGCAAATCTCTTTTATTTTTTTTGTTTGTTTATTTGGGGATAAGAGGAAGGAACGAATGGAAGGACAAGAGAAAAGGGCTGGAGAACAGGTGACTATTTTGTTTTTATTGTCTTTTCTCAAATAGGAAGTACAGTCATTCTGGTGGCCAGTGAACCTGACATGTACATCTCGAGCCTGTAACAGCTTGCAGGACTGTTCTGTTGAATTTTCAATGAGAAGAAAATTGTTTTTCTTTGGAAAATAATGTGCACCAGAATCAGGTGTTAGGGGGTCTGGGCATATTTTAAAGTATACAGGCAGAGACGGATCTGTGTGGCTTCAGCAGACCCAGACTCATCCAGGGGCAGCTTGGCAATACTGTCAGGGTAGAGGGCAGCTCACTACAGGGACAGGGAGAGAAGGAAGAGCAGGTGAGAGACAGCAGGCAGGTGAATGCTTTGGTAAGAATTCATGAGTAAACTTTTGGAAGGTAAAGAAAGAAAAACCCCAAAAATGTAAGATGGCATAAAGAAGGTCTGAAGATGAAGGCAAGAAGGGGAGTCAAATATCGTTTAAGATTAAGCAGTAAAATACCTTTCAATAAAATTGCCCCTTCACCAGATGGAACCCAGGATGAGACACCGGCACTCTTTGCTAGGAGGTTATTCATGTCCCGACTTCTTTAAAACAGTCAAAAAACAATATTAAAGTTCCCTTTCCAGTTCCCAAGAAGCATCTTTCCCTGTCTCTGTGGGGCTCAGAAGTGGAGCTTAGCACCCAGAGGCGGAGTGGCTATCACACACTCAGATACACAGAGCTACTCTCCACTCCCCAGCCCTCCTCCTACAGGAACCACCAACAGGTAGTATGCGGCCACTTCTGCTGGTACATAGCTGGTCAGTTACTCTAAAGAACATCTGGGCAACTGGGAATCTCCCCTCTTTTCCTTAAGATAACAGAATTGGGGATAATTTCCTTCTATTTCTTTGAAGAAGAAAAAAAAAAAAAAGCATTAAATGGTTTACACACACACTTTGCTAGAGGCAACTCTGTAGACTTCAGATGCTGTCTTTGTGTGGAGGCTGCCCAGGCTGCTTCTGAATTCCAGTCAGTTCTGTGACTATTCACCTGGGACCCGAGACTGACACCTGCTGCCCAGTCCAGGCCTCTCGGTCCCAATAACCTGGGTTATTTTTGTTGCAGCTAAAGCCCAACACATTCAGGCTCTCCTCTTGGTGTGCAGCTGAGTCTTGCTTTTAGTGATGAGAATCAGAGACTGACAGGATACAGAGGTGAAAGAGGCAAGCTCAGGAAGCAGGAAAGTGACATGCTGACAGAAGACAATGAGGACAAGAAGTGAACATGGAAACACAGCAGCCCCAAAGGACTGGGTAGTGGGGAGACCCAAAAGCAGAGCAGGCTGATGGGGGTTCTGTGGGCACTGTCAGCTCTCACAAGTCTGGCAAACTGTGGAAACCATCAGGGATTCTAGATTTCATGATTTATTTCTGGTACCAGTGTATCACTGGCTTTAAAAGAGTCCAGGGCAAAAAATGTAGTGTGATTTTTATGCTAAAATCATCATCAGCTTCACTGAGCTGCCCATAACCTCTGGGGTCATCAGTCTAGGGGTGGGAACCTAACGGACATCAACCTATCTTCCACTTTGTGCACATATCTGCTTCTAAAGTATGTAACCGAGTATCAAAAAATGTCCATGACTGGTGCCTTAACTAACCTTCACTTCTTTTTGCAAACCACCTCAACAGTGAACTAACCAAAGGCTAACTAAGTTGGGAGGGGACTCATTCTTAAGTGTCAACCTTTAAGGTATCTCAGTGATATATTTAACAGGAGAAAGGGATTAAAGGAATCATGGGAGACAGAAGTGGTGAGAGAGAAGATCAAAGCCCTTTGAGATACAAAAGATTAAAAAAAGGACACAAGCAAAGACAGATAGGGAAGATGATGTCAAGCCATATGAACATCTCCAAGGAACGACAAAGCTGTAGTTGAAGAGACAAGGCTTTTCTTCTCGGTCCAACAGAGAGAGGAAGAGTCCCCAAGAGCTGGTGCCCTGAATTTGGATTTGTAGCCCTACGGTGCTGTAGGATCAGCACTACAAGATCAGAACCACAAGGTCGGCAGTTCAAATATACCAACTGCTCCTCGGAAACCCTATACAGGGTCACTATGAGTCAGAATCGACTCAACAGCACTTAACAACAACAACAAACTGTGACAAAATAAATCTGTGTTTGTTAATGCTATGCACTTGTGACATTTCTGTTGCAGCAACACTAGATAACTAAAACAGGTGTGCTCATTTTGTGATAACTGATCACGTCACACAATAATGATTTGTGCACTCTGTTATGCTCAAACACAAAAATACAATGAACCCTAAAGTAAGGAAATACTGAAAGTAACTTTAAATAACTCACCTCATTTGCTATAAATATACCAAAGAGCTATGCTTAAACAACGCATCCTCCTTACTGACTGGGAACTGTAAATGAAATGATTGTATTTCCTTAAGACAAGTGAATAACCTATTTTCACAGCTCCAATAAAATATTTTCTCAAATTGCCTATAAAACCCACTCAATTAAACAAGATTATTTAAGAGTAAAATACCAATATCTACTTTTTAAGAAATTTCTACTGGAAAATGCCCACCATTTCTGCAAATTTAGCATTTTTATTGGTTAAGACTAACATAATAAAATACAGCCCTCATATACAAAAAAATGAGGCCTTTGAAAATAAGACACTTCAACTGAACATGTTTCCAGAAGGTAAGAGGTACAAATGATCAGGTTATAAAATTATCTAAAATATACTTAAAGTATAGAGGAAAATTGTACTTACTTCTTTTTTCCTTCTTCTTAAATTTCCCTTTTTTCTTTCCATGATCTTTCTCATCATCAGATGCAATATCAGGAGGCTCATGGAGGCTGTCGTGGGGAGGGGAGGGCTCACCAGTCCGGTACAATCCAGGAAACTTAGTAGGGCTGATCTCTTCAGAGCTGGGGGTTCGAGTAAGACCACTGCCATGCTCCCCCCTACGGTGCTCACTGGGGCTGCTGGTTGGGGGCAGGAAGCACTCAGTCATTCTGACTCTCTGACAAGAGGTGAAGTCCTTTTCTGTTACCTATCCATTACATCTACATGGAAAGAAAAATGCCATCAAAACTCTCTAAAATCAACAACCAAACCACCACAAACACACAATATAGCATATAATCTTGAATTACATATCAAAAGTATTTTCTTCCCATCCCTCCCTAAAAATATATTCACTTCTATAATCTCAAGTTACATTCCATGCAACTAACATTTCATACCTTGGCAGGCTGGAGCCACTGGAATCTTCAAGTATTAGAATAAAGAGTTCTTATAAGAACAATCATTGTAGAGGGCTTCTTTATGACTGCTACCATATGAATTCCTACTATTTAATTTTGACCAATCAGCTATGCTCTATGAACATCAAATTACAGATGCATGTAATTCTGCATGAATAGTGTGGTATCATAATAAAAAAAACTTACAGTACAGTTAAAGCAATATATGATTCACAAAATTAGAAATCTACGTTGTGTGCAAACAGAGTTATAACTTCATGTGTCGTACTTGCAACTATGTAGGAAAAAACAAGAACGCTCAATGTGCTCAATCCTACAGTATACACTTTATTATTATTACTGAAAAATATACATGGTGTCCTTGTGTGTCACTGTAGGGAAAGCACTGGACTGCTAACTACAAGGTTAGTGGTTCAATCCCACCAGCCGTCCTTGGAATCCCTGTATAGGGCCGCAATGAGTCAAAACTGACTCAAGAGGAGAGGACTTCCAGCGCTTCCCTGACCAGGCACTCAGGTAGGGCAGTCTCGGGGAAAAGGGGTGGAATCACACATAGGAAACCTCTGTCTAGCGGACAGACAGCCTTTGAACAAACATAAGATCTTATATTTCAACATTCTGAACTCGTTTTTAGAAAAGATCAAATTGCTGAGGAATTACAGGCATTTTAAGCTTTTGCCTGCCTGCACCAGGCTCCCGCTTCTGCGCCGGCAAGTACTTCTGCCCCCTGCAGACCTTGGAATGCAGGGCTAGAGCAACCCCACTTAGAAGGCTGAATTTCCAGAGAAAAGGAAGCATAAACTAACAAAGCCGAACAAATAGAGACGGATATCGGCGCGGATATTAGGAAATTTGAGGTACCCACGGTATAAAGAGACTGAGAGAGGCATTTTGTACGTCATCAAATACAGACACTACCTCCCTACAGCCATCACCCCCAGCCCTCTACTGCCCCGGCCGAGACCAGCCCTCTGTCAAGCCATGGAGGCTCAGGAATGCCTAAAGGCACAGGCCCGCCCACTGCGGCCAAGGCCCTCCCAAGGCACAGACACTCCCACTGAGGCCAAGGTCTGCCCTGAGGCCGAACCCGCCCACAGACTGGTCACAAAGGGCCAGGCCCAACCAAAGCCCAAATCGCCTACCCACCTCGCGGCCTAGGCGGTCCACATCCCGATCGCCACAGAGCTCCAGGGCCTCCAAGGCCCAACCCACTGCGTAGCCAGGTTGCTGAGGCCCAGGGCCCCTAAGGCCCAACCTGCCGTGTAGCCTGATTGCCAAGGCCCAGTGCTCCTGAGACCCAACCCGCCCGCAGCCCAGTCCCTGTGACACAGGCCCCCCGAGGCCCAATCCACCCAACCCGCTCGCTGAGGCCCAAGCCGCCCCATGTCCAGCTGCTGATACCCAGTCCCCCTGATGCCCAAACCACCTGCCCAAGGCCCAAACCACCAGCCCGAGGCCCAACCCTCCTGCAGCCCGGTCGCTGACGCCCAGGCCCCCAGAGGCCAAACTGCCCGCCCTAGGCTCAACTCACCCGCCCAAGGTCCAAATGGCCCGCCGGCGAGGCCCAGGCCCAACTGAGGCCCCAAAAAGCTACTTTGAGTTAAGCAATAAGGAGAGTGAAAAGGGAAGACCACATTAAGTCTTCCTGATTACATCTTCCTGGAGGTAATCAGAAAACATAAAAAATTACCAAAACACATACTTATTAATTATTAGGGCCACAGATAAACATTAAACATGTCCAAGAAGCAAAAGCAGATGACCATATCAGCACATATCCAGAAAAAAGATAAAATATCTGAGACAAATGAACCAGAAGTAGACCTTCTCTCCATGCTGGAAGGAGGGCAGGCCTTGGAGATACCTGAGAAAGAATTCAGAAAAATGATTATAAAATGTCTCAAAACACTTTACAATGGAGTTGAGAAAAATAAGGAAGAAGTCAGAAAAGCTGTATAGGAACAATCAAACAAGGTAGATACAGCATTGGTAACAATCCAAAACCTACAGAAAGAGGTCCAAACAATCAACAACAAAATGACAGAAATAGAAAACTCCCTGAAAGGGCAGAGGAGTAGAATAGATGAGATGGAAGGAAGAATCAGTGAGCTGGAAGACAAGTCTCTCAATACCACTAAGATAGAAGAAAAAAA